AAGAAACTAAGAAATACTAAAATTAAACAACAACAAAAAAGAAATAAAAAGTTAATCAAACTATGTCAAAATTTTTAATCAAACAAAAAACTGAAATCAATAAAAAACATTAAAACTAAAAAGAAATTAAACAACAAAACAAGTCAAAAATAATAAAAAAATACAATTCAAGAAAAATTAAACAACTAAAAATAACAAAAAAGAGAATTAAGTAAAAAAAAAACAATAGAAATCAACCAAAGAACAATATAATTTTGGCAAAATTAAACCACAAAGAAACTACAAAATTTTCAAATGAAAAAAAAATTAAGCAAAAAGAAATTAAATAACAAAAACTGTAAAGTAACAAAAAAAAGCATTATAACGAAAAGAAAATTGAACAAAAAAAAACTAAATTAAAAGTAAATCAAACAAGAATAAAAGAATTAAATAACAAAAAAACTAAAAAATAACTAAAAGCATTAACACTTTTAAAGCAACAACTAAAAGAATATTCAAGAACAAAAAAGTAAAAACAGTAAAAAATGAAATTAAAAGAAAATTAACGACAAAAATGTAAAAACAACAAAAAAGAAAATTAAGTACAAAAAAAAACTAAAAATTAACCAAAAACCATTAAAATAAAAAGAAAATTAAACAACAAAGAAATAAAAATCTACAAAAAACAAAATTAAACGGAAATTAAAAAAAAATTTTTTTTTTTTAAACCAATTACTGAATATTAATATATGTCATCTAAATAATTGAAGAAAAAGAAAATATGACAGAAAAAAAATTGAAACAAAAGACAATCTGATAAAATAGTAGTTCGCGATATTAAAAAGTTTTCGCCAACTGATTTCACTTCTGACTTTTTAATATCGTGTAAAGGTAAATTTTTTTTTCTTCCACTTTTGAAAAAATTTTATCAAGTTTAATTTGATTTTACAATATTTAAAAATAATCACCTTCCTCTAAATTTAATCATCAAATTATATTCTAATTACATCTGTATTGAAAATTAAGTTAGAATTTATAATGAAATTCGAGAGCGCAAAACCGATATTAGCTAATTATAAATCACAATAAGATTGAAATTCAAATTTAAAAAAGAAAATTTCTATTGAAATTATACTTTAATTAATATTTTTCAATTTAAGACCACTTTTTTGTAATTAAAAAATTATGCAGAAATTTTAAATTTAGAAATTAATTTGAAAACTTTTGTTTACAAAATATTACCTAGTTTTTGTTTTAGTTTAAAATTTTAATTTAAAAATTGTATAATAAAATATAGTGAATAAGAAATTAGATTCAATAAGTTTAATAAATAATAAACATAAATTTTGTAAATTTAATAACTGAAATTAAAGAAATCAACTAAAGAGAGATTTTTCAACTTTTTAACTATTTTTCAATATTTTGTAATTAAAAATTTATTATTCAACTTTTAATTAAAAACTTGTAGTTTGTAAATTATCAGTTTACAAAATATTTTTGAAACTTTTGATCTAAAAATTTGAAATTGTATAATAAAATTTAATACAAAAAAATTATATTTAATAATTTTAATAAATAGGAATAATGTTAAATAATGTAAATTTAATAACTAAAATTAAAAAATTTACTAAAAAGGAATTTTTCAGTTGTAAACTACTTTCTTGTAATTAAAAAATTATTATTCAGTTTTTAATTAAAAACTTAGTTGGTAATTTACTACTTTATAGTTTCTGAACTTTTGAACTAAAAATTCAAAATTGGAGAACAAAATTTAATAAATAAAAACAATTTAATAAATTAGGTAAATAAATAAAATTTAGAAAAATGTAATTAAAGAACGTATTAAACATTTTAGATAAGAATTTTCGTCTTCTATTTTTTTCTCGAGTAAAATAAAAACCAATAGATAATATTCGAATGAAAAGTAAAATTCATTCTAGCGCATCGAGTATTTTTTATTTATCGAAAATTCTATACGCCTAAAAATACAATTCCCAGTATAAAATATAATACTATTTTTATAGTTAAATACATGTTGCTTTAACACACATATTCGGTTATGGATCACTTCATTTTTTTTGCTATTCTCTCTTCGAAGAAAAATTTAATTTCTCTAATATAAAAAAAAATTGATTCAACATTGTTCGATTCATATAAAAAATACCAATAAAAGTACACATAAGGGGTAATCGAGAGAAAAAGAATGTAATAACGATTATATTGTTTAACACGCATTAAATTTTCTTTTACGGCAAATTTAACGTTTTTAAAACACAAAACTTTATTATACAAAATGTGGTTACTTTTTCTTTCTTCTTCTCTCTCTCCTATTTTTTTTTTTTTTGTTACTTTTATTTTACGAGCATTCAGAAGAATAATATAAAGACGATCTATAACCATAATACGGCAATGTTAGTAAGTAATAAGAAAAATTTTCTACCTTGATGCAAAAAATATGAGTACATAAAGTTATTCGTAACAAGCATCGATAATAAACCGCGAGGGAGCTATTACATGTATATATATATTTTCTTCTTATACCGGAAGTATATGGCTTTTGAAAATTTAAATTTATTGAAATTATAGTCAAAATAGATATCTACGTAAATAATATTATAAATTAATGGTTGAATAGTAATTATAATAATTTAAAATCCAATAATTATAAATTCAAGAATTTTAAATACAAAACTACGAAAATAAAAAACGAAAATACGAAAAATACCTTTTTCCTTCTATGAAGAAGGAATCAAAGTAAAACGTGAGGTGTTAAAATAACACCAGAATGGATTAAAATAATCTGCAACAATTTAATCCCTCTAGGATTAAATTAACACCAGAAAGGATTAAAATAATCTATTTTTATGTTATTTTTAACTACGAAGGAAATTTTACTTTAAATAAAACACCAAAGTCAACGATTTGTAAAAATTCAACGAATTTAGCTTCTCCAGGAAGAATAGTAAGTCAGTAAGTTAGTTACTAACTTACTAACTAACTTAGTAACTAACTTAGTAACATAGTTACTAAATTCAATTGTGTTCAAAATTTTTTTTTAATTCTCGTCAAAATTTCAATTCTCTTTATAAATAATAAAATTCTTCTCTGATATTCAATTATTTTACAAAATTTTAATCAAATTCTTGTCAAAATTTCAATTATTTTCAATAGTTTTCTAAAATTCAATGATTTTCAATATCTAATATTTCAATAAAATTTTCCAAAAGAATTCTATTATTAAAAAAAATTTCAATAAAATTTTACGCAAACATACAATTATTTTCATAAAAAATAAAATTTTGTACAAGAATTCAATTATTTACAAATTTTTTTAAAAATTTCTTCGCAATAATTCAATTATTTTCATAAATAATAACTTTTTTACAGGGATTCAATTATTTTTATAAATAATAAAATTCTTTTAGGAACTCAATTATTTTCATAAATAATTAAACTCATTGCAGAATTTCAATTATTTTTAATACAATTTTAATTGAATTCCTCGAAAAATGTAATTATTCTTAAAAATTTTATTAAAATTCGTCCAAAGAATTTAATGATTTAAAAAATTTGTTGATAACATTTTTTATGAGAATTTAATTTCAAGAAACATGAAATTGATAAATTATTTATTTTTGTATTTAAATAATTGAATTCTCGTAGAATTTACTAATAAAAATGGTTTTCAAAATGAATTTCAGTTAAAATTTTAGATTATAATTAAATATTAAAAGCATTATAACGTGGATTTTTAGAAATAATTAAATTTTGAAAAAGTTTCAAATTAAAATCATTGAAATTCTTAATTTTTCATATTTTTGAAAAACAATTCTGTAGAATTAATTCAATTTTTAAAAGTTTAATAGGATTTTTATTGAAATTATTTCAAGTTTTTATTTTTCAATATATATTTAATTGCAAAATTTTCGAATAATTGAAATTTTGTAAAATTGAATTGTAAACGAATGAATTTCAAAATTTTCAAAGAACTTTTTTTAAAAATTATTAAAAATAATAGATTTATTGAAGAATTTTAGTTAAAAACAGTAGAAAAAAAATTTAAATTTAGAGAATTTACAAATTATTGCAGAAATTGAATTATTTTCAAGAGTAATAAAATTCTTCTTAAGGATTCAATTATTTTTACTAATAATAAAACTCATCGCAGCGTTTCAATTATTTTCCACACAATTATAATTGAATTCCTTGAAAAAAGTAATTATGTTCTTGCAAGTTTTAATAAAATTCGACAAAAAAATTCAATTATTTAAAAATTTGTTAATAAAATGCTTTATCAGAATTGAATTTTGAGAAACATTCAATTATTCAATAAATTATTTACTTTTGCATTTAAATAATTAAATTCCTGTAGAATTTTCTAATAAAAATTGATTTTCATTTCATAAAAATGAATTTCAGTTAAAATTTTAGATTGTAATTAAATATTAAAAGCAATATAGCGTGAATTTTTAGAAATAATTGAATTTTGAAATTATTTTTTTTTAAAAAGTTTAATTGAATTTTCTTTTATATTATTTGAAGGTTTCATTTTCTAATATGCATTTAATTAAAGAATCTAGGAATAATTGAACTTTTATGAAATTGAATATTGTAACAAATGGATTTGAAAATTGCCAAAAAACTTTTTCGAAAATTATTAAAAATAATTGATATAAAGTAAAATTGTAGTTAAAAATTTTTGAAAATAATAATTGAATTGAGTCATCGATATCTTCATGTCTTATAGTTATAAAAAAATTTAATGAACTAAAATTTCATTCATTGTAAAAAAATAACACCGAAATTGATTATTTTAATCTTTTTTTATGTTAATTTAATTTGCAACACTTTTTAATACCTCACGATTTACTGTGATTATAAAAAAAATCTAATATAAATTAATTTAAATACAATTCTAAACATTATTAAAAAATAAGCTTTAAATAATAATTTTATTAATTTTAAATAGCTAGTAATTTTATGTCCAAATATTTTAAATCCAAAACTACGAAAATACAAACCTTCTTCTATATGAGAAAGCAATTATAGAAAGAAAAAATAAAATTTAATATAAATTAATTCAAATATAATACTAAACAATATTATAAATAAGGTTTAAATGATAATTTTATTAATTTTAAATCTAGTAATTTTGTGTTCAAGAATTTTAAATCGAAAAATTTAAAATGTAACGAGAAAGCAATAAAGTTCAATGTAAACAATGTTTTTGAATATATTTATATTATTTTACGAATTTACTAAAATTTACTCTAAAAAAAGAAAAATTATTATTGTTGTTTCATTTAATTAATTTTCTGGAAGAATAAAATTTTTCAAAGAAACTTATAATTAAAAGTACCGGACAAAGAATTTAGTAATAAAAAATAATTATTACCTGACTAGGTTTACATCTAAAGGCAGGTTGGTAACGTCGACGCATCCTCCTTGGACAGCAGACGCACAGAATTCTGACAAAAGCCCTGCAACAGTCAGAAAAAAAGAATTATACATTTTTATATTCATTTATTTAATTTTTTCAATTTTTGTATTAATTTTTGTATTTTTTAATCTTCATTTCCTATTTCTGTTTATTTCTATTTAAAAGAGAAAAAGTTATGAGCAAAATATCAGTTATATATGAGAATAATTTTTCGAATTTTCGCCAGCAGAAGCAAATGGTAAAATAGTAAATTTCAGTTGAATAAGTAGTTCGAGTCAACGTCCAATCAGACGTCAAGATAAAAATTCAGAAGTAATTTTTTTTTCTCCTCATTACTATTTTCTGTTAAAAAAGATAATTAATGATCCAGAAAAGATTTCACCTTTTAAATTCCCCGCAGTTCCTCAACGAAAAAAAAGAGAAAAAAAAAGAATTATGTAACAAAAAAAAATTGCCTGAGAATTCGTAAAAGGAAGAAATTTAAAAAAAAATGAAACAAACGAGGTTAGAAACATTGTTATCAGTGACTTTTACACAGTTATTTGCAGTGTCGATCTTGAGAGTCTGTAATGTTCGAATTGCATGACTGAAATACTTTTCGAAAAGATATCTTCGTTCTTCGACTATGCAAGAGCAACACATGATTAAACACTGCACGCAACCCAGTTCGATCAGAGAGTGCGACCACTGGCTGCTATATTGTTACACAGTAAATATACGACTTTATATTTCTTTTTTTTTCCTTTTCCTCGCGTAAATTGCTCCCACTACTCTCATGAGAATTAGCTCTTTGAATTCTTCTAAATATTCTATACTAATTATCGAGAAAAAGAATTAATTGTTCCTTAAACAAAAAATTTTTTTCTTTTCTTAATTTGTGAAAAATAATTAATTGTCAAGAAATAAATAATAAGGAAAAATGAGTGATTACTGAAAAGTTACATTTCTTTTAAATAGTTACTTTTTATTTTTATTCATTTTGTTAGTTTCCTATTTGAAAAATAAATTTGAATAATAAATTAAATTATTGTCTGACAGATAACAACTTTCACTACTATTTTTATCATTAAAAAACAAAATAATTTCGTCTGACTTTATTTTACTTTTTTCACTGATTCATAGGTTTGAAATATTTTTCCGTCTGACTAAAATCTTCTTTTACTACTGATATGCCTTATAATAAGGAAATAAAATTATTTTGTCTGACTTAGACTTAAATTTACTTCTATTAGTGATTACCAAATTAGAAATAAATTCGCCTGACTGAAATTTACTTTTACTACTGATATCTTATAAAGAAATAAATTAAATGATTCTGTTGGACTGAAAACTACTTTTCCTACTGAAAATTTTTTAATAAATAAAACTTAAATAAATATTTAAGTAGTACAAGTCAAAATTAAGTCTGACAAGTTGATTGTAAAAAAACCACTTTTTATTTTTAGTCGTTTTTCTAAAAAAAAAGTTTTTCTCAAAAGTTCTGATTTCGAGAAAAAAATGTTGTAACAAATTTTAATTTCTTTTATTTTACAATTACTGCCACGTATTGATTTCTAAAATAATTTTTTTTTAATTTGTAAATAAAAAAAAATTTCTTATAATTCTTACAAATTATGTGTATTAGCAGAAATTTTTTTATTGTTTAGGCTTCACACTCAATAATTAGTTTAAAAAATATATTTTTAAGACTGAAAAAAGTAATAAAATGTAGCTACTATTTTTATTTATATATAAGAATAATTGAATTCCTGCAATGAATTTTATTATTTTCGAAAAAATTTCTTGAAAATTGTATTTCACACAATTGAATTCCTCTGAAGAATTTTATTATTTATGAAAATAATTGAATTCTTTCGAAGAATTTAATTAAAATTCTATTTAAAATAATTGAATTCATCTAAAGAATTGTATTATTTATAACAACAATTGAATTTCTACGAAAAATTTATTTAAATTTAGAAAAAAATGAATTATTGCAAATTTTTTTGACGAATTAAATTAAAATTGCATAATAATTCAATTCGTATAGCGAATTTTCTTAAAATTTATTAAAAATAATTAAATTCTTTCGAGAAATTTTATTAAAATTGTATTAAAAATAATTGAGTTCTTGCGATTATTTATGAAATTAATTTATTTCCTATAAATACAAATTTTAGAAAATAATTAAGAAATTTTGTCAAAATATTTAAATAATTATTTTTTTTCAAAAAAAATTTCTTTAATTTATTTCAAATAATTGAATTACTGTAAAAATTTTATTATTCAGAATATTTGAATTTTCCTTTTGAATTTTCTTAAATATTTTATAAATAATTGAATTCCTCTGAAGAATTTTATTATTTATGAAAATAATTGAATTCTTTCGAAGAATTTAATAAAAATTCTATTTAAAATAATTGAATTCATCTAAAGAATTGTCTTGTTTATAAAAACAATTGAATTTCTATGAAGAATTTATTAAAATTTAAAAAAAAAATGAATTATTGCAAATTTTTTCGACGAACTAAACTAAAATTGCCTTGAAAATAATTCAATTCATATATAGAATTTTATTAGAATTTATTAAAAATAATTGAATTCTTTTGAGAAATTTTATTAAAATTATATTTAATAAATAATTGAGTTCTTGCGATGAATTTTATTATTTATGAAAATAATTTAATTCCTATAAACAAATTTTTAGAAAATAATCAATTTCTTTTTAAAAAATTTTATTAAAATATTAAAATAATTGATTTCTTTCAAAAAAAATTCCTTTAATTTATTTCAAATAATCGAATTACTGTAAAAATTTTATTATTCAGAATATTTGAATTTTCGCTTTAAATTTTATTAAATTTCTTATAAATATAATTATGAATTCTTGTGAGAAATTTTATTAAAAATATATAAATTTGTGTATCTAAATAAATATAAATAAAATAATGGATATGAAAAATATTTGAATTTAATTATTTGTGAAAATAACTGAATTCTTGGAAAATATTTTCGAAATATTTGCAGAAATAATTTAATTGTGTCAAAGAATTTTATAAAAAATTTTCTAATTTTTTCTAAGGAGCATTTTAATAAAATTTTTAAAAATAATTTCTTTATTTCAACTATTAGCGAATTTAAACTCGTCAAGTTTCTCAAAAATAGTCGAAAAAGTAGCTTTTAGTGTCACAAATTTAAAAAAAATAATTTAATAATTTTAAATTTTAAATTTAAAAAAAAAATTCAAATATGTAGTAGCTAATCGTGAAAAAAAGTAGTAAATAGTAGGATTTAGTAGATGAGTTAGAAGTCTGATTGTTAGAAAAAAAACTTTAAAAAATTAAACTAGTGAAAATTCTCGAAAATAGTAAAAAAAAGTAGTTTTTAGTGTCACAAATTAAAAAAAAAAATTTAATAATTTAAAATTTTAAAAAAGTATTCAAATATGTAATAGCTAATCGTAAAAAAAGTAGTAAATAGTAGGTTTTAGTAGATTAGGTCAAAATCTAATTGTTAGAAAAAAGTATTAAAAATCTACATTCATGAGATTTATCTCATGAATGTAATTTTGAAAGGTTTTTTCACTTTTATTAGAAAAAATGTTTTCTAAATAAAATATAAATATGAATAAAATTCATAATTCAAATTCCTTAATTTAATCCACTCAATAAAAAAATATATGAAAAGAACCACATTCGAGGCATAAAATTGCGTGACTATCAACTTTATGATTACACACACGATAAATGTATTTTTCTGCGCACCAGCACATTGTTCAATTACTTTAATATATCAAATTTTTTATTCTAAAAGGAATATAACCACAATTTTTCAATCCAACAGTTCGTTAAAGAAGTTGTTTGAAAGAGCATTTAAATAAAAATTTCCCTAAAAAAAAGGAGAATTTTTCTCCCTTTGCCAAAACTCATCATTATGTTAATAATTACACTCATTATACCGTGTATTTGGCACACTCTCGCAATAATCGTACCAGTGGACAATTGCAATAAAATAAAAACCTATAAAATCACAAACAATTCAGAACACGAATTAAATAATACAATTCTCATTAATGAAATGCCATGTTTAATGAGATTTTTAAGCCAAAATCTTCCATCGAAACGAGTTCCAATAATAATTCCCACCAATATTTCTGAAAATAGTGAATATTTCCTGCAAAAATTACAATCAAATTTATCAATTTTTCTAATTAGGGAGAAATTTTCATTTGCAAAATTCTACAATGGTAGTTTAAATATAATAATTTTGCTCGATGATAAAACTCAAGTGACGAGTGTGACAAAAAATTTGCCCTACATTTGCAGTAAAAACTGTATTTACGTGTTAATTGTGACAAAATTTTATCGCGACGAAAAAATCTTCACCAATGACGCCAATGAATTGGTAAATTTACTATGGGGACAAAAAATAGCAAACGTCATTATTATTTTAATTCTCAACGGGAAATTACAATTGGCAAAATCAATTTCCTTCAAGGAGCACGTGATTCGTGAACCAAGTGTTCCAAAATTTTTTGGCCACTGCCAACAGCAGAATAGTTGGCAAAAAAATGTGGAGAAAATATTTTCCCCATTAAAATTAAATAATACGATAGCGAGAGTTGCATTCTTTGAATCGGAACCATATGCGTTTGTCAATAATGACAGTGAATTTTCCATCAGGGGAATTGAGGGCGATTTATTGAGTGCTGTGGGGGAAAAATTGGGACTCAAATTCATTCGAGATGAAATCTCATGGACAAGTGCAACCGATGATGTCGATGAGATTCGCAAGAAATTCAATTCCAATCAAAGTTTTGATCTTGTTCTTGGTGGATTGCAATGGGCACCCACTTGGGATATTGATTACACATTTCCTTATAAGGTACATTATAGATTCAATAGAGAGAGAGAGAGAGAGAAAGTGGAAAGAAAAATTTTTCAATAAAAGTTTTTTTGCAAAAATTTAAATTTCAAAGGTTTTGTGAAAAGTTATATTTAAAAGATTTTTTTTTCTTTAAATTATGAAATGTTGAATTATGTCTGAATGAAAATGGTGATT